TGGACATTTAAATTCCTTTACAGTTTGGTTCCAGCCTTCTTTTCCTTTTACACACACACACACACACACACACACACACAGATCCACTCTCTTATTTGGTACTTCAAATATTACTTTGGTATTTCATGCATTTTATAGACTTCCAATATATGGTTTTTAAAGTTAAGGCAATATTTCCCTTTCTCCTGGGTGGCGGTGGCAAAATATGGGTATTTTCTGAGAGATTCTATGATGACTAAAAGAATTCCATTTTTTAATAGCCCCAATTGTCCTAATTCTGTGATGTCATTGTTATTTGACCCTGTTGCCACTGGTGAATTCAAAATTGGAACATAGTCCACAGAAGAATTTTCTAGCTATATATAGCCAAACTCTTGCTCTGGGTGGGCCTCTCTTAGTTTCAGAAACTCTGGACCTTTGCTTATGTTGACTTCATAACTAGAAAGGACCAATGTTGCCTTTTGTACTCCCTTACCAACCTTACCTATTGAAATCCTTTTCTTTCTTCAAATCTAGCTTAGGTCCCATCCATGTATCCTTTTCTAATCCCTATTTGTCCTTGAGGCTAGAATTGAGAGTTCCCTTTTCAAATCTGTCTTCATTTTGGACCTCTTTGTACCCATTTGTATTATATTTTACCTCTTCTTCTGGATTATTAACACTAGGTTATTTATGTTTCTCTCTCTTTCTCCCTGTCCTGCCTTAGCTCCTACCCTGGGAGTAGCATAGCGTCTTATGTATAGGGACTTGCCAGGTGAGGAAATTGCCTTAATAAATTCAGGTTAGCATGTTCTCTGTGACATATAATCTTGTGATTTGCCCAAGGTCACACAGTCAGTATGTGTCCAAGGTGGGACTTGAACCCAGGCCCTCCTGACTCAAAAGCCAGCTCTCTATCCACTATATCATGTTTCAAAATTGAATTGCATTTCTGTTGAATCCATTAAACCACAAAAAGTAAGGCTTTCAGAAAAAAAATCATTCAGGGTGCTGAGATTTATGCTGATGTGCATGTCATGAAAAAGCAACTCTTGTCATTGGTCTTAGAAAATGCCTGATCCATGCCAAATTCTCAGAGCATCCCACCAGGAAAGAACATGATTTTCTTTAATTGCAGAGTTGATGCTTGGGTTTTTTAAAGCAATGCCAAAGACTATGGGCTCTGGCAGGTCCTATAGTGCCGGAAAGATTGTAAGTACACACCTGGCATCAGAGTTTGTGTCTCGTGTCCAAGGACCAACTTAACTAAATTTGAAGAGGATCGTTGCCAAAAAGTTGGCTTCAAGGTAATTACAGATTTTTTTTTCAGCCGTGGAAACTCACCAAGAATATCTAGCAAGGTATAGATAGGCTGCAATCAGCACTTGCAAAGAGTATACCTAGACTAAAGAAATCATATAGCTGTGAATATTGAAGAAAGTGGGTGAGCTTAAGAGTTAAGAGAGCCCTTAAATGGAAGGATGCCTTCCATACATTGTTTTCTAATAAAAACTGAGAAAACTGTCTTTGGTTATCAGACATTACCAGATTCACTGAATACTCTGCATAGTTGTATTATTATTATTATTAACCTTATCTATATGAAGTATTTAATAAATATAACCTATTGAATTGAATCAAATCAAATGAATCTGCAATCCTATCCTTCTGAATGCCCAGTAGTCACATTTACTAACATTCAGTAGAGTTTGTTATTTTGTCATTTGCTCTCAGTGAATAGATTTGACAACAGGTTTTTCCCCTTTCCTAATATTACACTACAGATTTTGAATTATTCTTAAATTAGTCCAGATTGTTGGAGTAAGCTGAGGGAGCTGGGACTTATTAAAATAAGAAATTTTCACAATAAGAAGCCACTGTAAAAAAATCCCCAAAATGAGGAGTGTTGACTGGAGGTTTCAAATACCAATCACAGCTAGATAACACCATCTGTGACAAAATTTTGTGATACAACCGGAAAAAAAATATTTATTTGAAACATTTTAAGTTTTAAAGCTAATATCCATCCAAAAGTAGGTAGTTTGTAATAATGAATTTCTTTTTTTTCTTTAAAAGTGTTTATTGATTCTTTATTTTTTTAAAAAAGGTCAATCTTGAATATACCCATTCAACTTTTCCCTGCTTTCCTTTGTACCAAAAAGAAAAACCAAAACAAGAATCAGAGTTCTAGATTTGGAGTCTGAGGATTTGGGTTTGAATTCCAGCTCTGCCACTTATTACCTGTGTTACCCTGGGCTAGTTTCTTAAATTCCCTGGGCCTCACTTTCCTTATCTGTAAAATGAAGGTGGATGTTGTACTCTGTGAACTCTAAAGTTCTTCTAGTTCAAAATCTATAATCCTATGAACTGAAACATTAACCACATCTGACAGTATATGCAATGTTCCACACCCATACTCACCACCACTCTAAAAAAAGGAAGGAAATAAATTTCCTTTTCTCTTCTTGAAGGTCAGCCGTATTCATCGTAGTTATACATTTCAATCATATGTCAGAGATATTGTAGGTTTGGTTCCATACCACCTCAATAAAGTAAATACTGCACTAAAGTAAGTCACATGACCTTTTTTTTTTGTTTCCCAGTGCATATGGAAGTTATGTCTATGCTATGTTCATTAAGCTTGCAATAGTATTAGGCTGGAAAAATGTATTTAGCTTAACTAAAAATACCTCATTGCTAAAAAAAAATGTTAACTATTATCTAAGTCTTCAGCAAGTCATGCATGATCTTTTTGCCAGTGGAGGGTCTAGCCTTGATGTTGATGGCTATTGACTGATTGGGGTAGTCATTGCTGAAGGTTGGGATGATTGTAGCAATTTCTTAAGATAAGACGAAAAAGAAGTTTGCTTGCATAGATCAACTCTTCCTTTCACTTGAACACTTAGAGGCCATTGTAGTGTTATTGATTGGCCTAATTTCAGTATTGTTGTGTCTCAGGGAATAGGGAGACCTGAGGAGAGGGAGAGAGACTAGGGAACCTCTCATCTGTGGAACAGTCAGAACACAACCATCTGTTAATTAAATTTGCCACCTTATATGAGCACAGTTCACCATACCCCAAAATAATTCCAACAGTAACATCAAAGATCATTGATCATAGATCACCACAATAGATACAATAATAATGAAAGAGTCTGAAATATTGCAAGAATTACCAAACTGTGACACAAAGACACGATGTGAACACATGCTGTTGCAAAACTGGCACTGATAGATTTGTTCTATGCAAGGTTACCACACAAACCTTCAATCTGTAAAAAAATGCAATGTCTGCAAAGCTCAATAAAGCGAAACCTGCCTGTATTCGGTTTTTAATTGCTATTTTCAATTACATTGCTGTAGTCATTGAATGTATTATTTTCCCAGTTCGCTTATTGCATTCTATATCATTTCATACAAGCCATCTCATGTTTCCCTAAATTCCTCATATTGATCACATCTATTGCACAATACAATTCATTGCGTTTATATTCTATAATTGATTTAGCCATCCCACAACTGAAGGGTACCAACTTTATTTCCAGTTCATTGATACTCTAAATAGTGTTACCAGGAATATTTGGTTGTACAGAACTTCTCTTTTTTGTCCTTGACTTCGTTGGGATAGATACTTAGAAGTGTATTTTCTGAGTCAAAAGACACAGACATTATAGTTGCTTTCTTAGTATAATTCCAATTGGTTTGACCAGTTCATGGCTTTACCAAGAGTGAATTAGCCTGCCTGTTTTGCCACAGCCCTACCATGATTGACTAATTATACCTTTTGCTGTCTTTTCATGGTGAAGTGAAACTTTGAAATTGTTTTAATTTAATTTAATCTATTATTATTACTGATTTGAATCAATGTCTCCCAAGCTTGCTAATAGTTTGAAATTATTCTTTGGAGAACTATCTATTCATAACCTTTGACCACTTAATTTATAGGGGAATAGCTTTGGGTTCTAGATATGGGCTAATCACCTATTAGGCCTTTATCAGAGATGTTTGATGCAAAGATTTTTTTTTTCCCAAATGAAAATTTATCTTCTTATTTTAGCACACTGAATTTGATAATGCAAAATATTTTAAATTTCATGCTATCAGAATTGTCTCTTTTTTTTGGGTTACGAAGTTCCTCATCTCCATCTCCCCTCCACCCATCTTCTCCTGGAGAATTAATTTTTGCACAAATAAGTGAATAGAAAATATACAAATAAACACAAATTAATTGCTTTTTTAAAAAACTCTTTTTTTTTGGAGGCAATCAGGGTTAAGTAATTTACCCAGAGTCACACAGCTGGTCTGAGACTGGATTTGAACTCAGGTCCTCCTGACTCTAGGGCCAGTGCTCTATCCACTATGCCACGTAGCTGCCCTGACACAAATTAATTTCAAGGAAGGGGAACATTAAAAATTAAGGAGATTAAGAAAAGGCTCTTATACATATAGCATAGCATTTATGGGAGCTAGAGGTTTTAAGATGCAGAAGTGAGAAGGGAGAGGATTATGGCAATGGAGGATTGTGTGTACAGCTACATAGAGGTGGGAAATGTTTTTTGAAGAATCTATGCCACAGAGCTGTTATTTTTTAAAAATCACTCTTAAAACTACAAAGGATATGTGTGTAATACTATTACAATTTTGTTACTGTTAGTAGCATTATTTTGCATGGGTGGCCCTTGGTCCATTTTGAGGAAACATCCTCCAGGTTTTTATATTATTAGTCAATTCACTGCAATTAGATCATCCAGCCTCACTGAACCTTTTTCCTCATGTACAAAACAAGGGGGTTGGCCTCAGTGGCCTGAGGTCCATTCTAGATCTAGATCTATGATCTCATCATCTTTCACTCACTTGTGCCTCTTCTCCTCAGTCACCTGATGATCCTGGCATCCTGTGACCTCATACTGTTCTCTGGCTGTCCAAAGTTCCACTTAAACCTGTTCTCACTCTTCCTCATCCTTCCTGTCATCACCCTTCCAACTGCATCATCAAAACTACCATTCTCTCAGTGCATAGCAGTTAGGGGGAGGACCTCTTATAAATTAATCCACACTAAAAAAAAAAATGACAGCTCCCACCCCCTCTAAACTTTCATAGGATTATTTGCTAAGTAATCCTAAGCTAATTCCTTTGGTGGAATTTCAGGTGGTGTGTGGGATACATTTTGAGGTAAGAACTTCCTTGAAATTGCTCTATTTGGCTTATTTTCCACATAACAATGCTAGGAGGGGAGAGAGGAGGGGAAATGAGAATTTATAGCTCCTAGTCTTCTCCTTCCAGCTGAGTCTAACTGAAAGGTTCTCTGAGGCTCTTCGGGAAATGATTTGATCTGTAATCAGGGAACACCCATTATAACATACCTTCTTGATTCCCTTTCTGGGGCTTTCCAGGTCCTAGAGGTTCCTTGGGTACTGAACGTTTGTTACAGCCATCCTCTGGGGTTAGGAATGTGGCTTGGGAGTTATTTTTCTATCTTTGACTACCTAAGACAGACAACTCAGGTTCTAAACAAGAAGCTAATTTGGGAGGGGGAGGAGGAGTTTACATGAGATCATCTTGATTTGTTCAGGGGCTCTGGAAGGATTCCTTCTTCCAGGAAGGGATGAATAAGTTGCAGGAGGTTGGAGGGGGAGAAGAGTGGGGAGGGGCTTGGGTTGGTAAATATGTTTGTGAGATCTGAGAATTCTAATACCTCACAACCGTCTACTGGAGAAAGAAGCAGACTCAGCCTCTTCCCTTTGAATGACACATTCAGGGGTCTTCAGCAGAACCTAAGAACAGTTCAAAGAACAGTTCCTTGTCCCTCACTACAAGTTCCCACCTCCTCACCCACAGAGTTACCTACTTGGTTGTATAAAAATAGCAATTACTGTCTCATGGTTGAGGTGGTAGGTGCATGCCAGGGATTAGTGGATAATTAACTGGGGAGAGTCAACAAACCTCTCAGAAATTTGGGAAAGGACAGTCCAAACTCTGTGCCCCATTCTGAGGATCAAATATCAGAAGATCAAAGCTGGAAATGGACCAGGTCCGGACCCATGAAGCCATGTAAAAAAAATCAGTCCAAGTAGAGGAACAGTGGACCCAAAGCCAAGGGGAGAAATGAAGAGTAGGAGAATAACATGGTTGGAAGGTTGTAGGACTTCAAGTAATAATTGGCATCATAAAAAGAATCAGCTGGGCAACATCATTTTGTGGCGGTAGCATGTTGTGCACAACTTCTCCCCCTAACCCCCAACCTAGAGATAGCACAATATGTGACAAATGATTACAGTAATCTAGGTAAAATACTTACCATTTATGTCTCATACTATGCAACATAATAATGATTATATGTCATTAACTGTCACATGAACTCTGTTTTAAGCTGTCTTGTTACCACACCTAATTGTGATCACCCAGTCAGTTTTCATAGTTTACTTTTCACATATTATGATCACCTTCCTTCTTCACAACATAAAAATAAATGACATCTCTCCACAATTTCTCACTTTATGAGAAACAGGGACAGAATTCAGAGTTGAATAAACACTGTATGTGACCCAATATGGTGATGTTTGTGTTCTTATCTATTGTGATGGTTAAAATGAGAGCTAGCAGCTACTTTGCAAACTTGTTTGTTGTACCGGCCTAACTGGTCTGGCCTCTGATAAGGACCATGGCTAGGTAGAGTTCATGGTGTTGTTTGTTGTACTTGGCCTTTAGGGATACATATAAGTGGTGTAGTGTGCTAGCTGGCCCTGCTTTCCAGATTCATCCCAGATCTTGTTAGTTGGAGGGCTCCCTGTGCCGTTGACACCTTTATTAAACTCCTCCCATGGATGGTTCCTCCTGGGGTCTCCATTTTGTGTGTGTGAAGAGCTTAAGCTGCCCTTCATTCCCCTCCTGGTCCTGTTTTTGGCTTTTTGATTTCAAAACCATAATCTCCCTGTGCCTCAATTTCCTTATCTGTAAAATAAGGGGGTTGGACTTGAAGGTCTTTAAGATCTCTTCCAGGTCGAAATCTATGAGCTCATGAAATGTTTACTAGGATAATCTTTCCTCACATTCCGTCCTGGATACTCGAGCTCCTTTCAAGCTCAGATAGCAGCCCTACAGGAGGCCTTTCTTGATTTCTCAGTTGTTAGCACTTTTTATCTTCACATATTAAAATGTATTTACTTTTTATAATAAGTATATATTGTAATCCCCCTCTCCCCAAGAATGTAAGCCTCTTGAGGTCAGGGACTGTTTCATTTTTCTCTTTGTATTCTTATTGGATAGCACAGTGATTGGCATGTGGTAGAGAGACAGACAGGGAGGGAGACAGAGAGAGACACAGGGAAATAGAGAGAGACAGAGAAAGAGATGAGGGGAAAGTGGAGAGGAGAAGAGGAGGAGAGAGTTTTTTGCTGCTATTGTTTATTTTTTTTTTAAACCGGGTCTAGGTAAACAATCTTCTGGCGTTTAGCTCCAAAGTCACAGAAAGTTTGTATAGCAAATCTCCCAGAGCATCTGCTTCCAGGCTGGTTAATTACAAAACAATTAGCTTCTAATGAGGCATTTGCTTCCTTATTCTGTTTACCAGCACCAATTCAACATCCGTCTATTGATAGCCGACTTGTGGAAACACCTTTAGATCAGGAGAGAAATCTTATTTCTTGAAACCCTAACAAAATAATTAAACAGATTCTTTAACTGAACCGGAAGCTTTTTTCTGTCTCTCTCTTTCAGTTTTGCTGGTACATAGATTAACAGGCTTCCTCTGCTGAGCCAGGAATTCCCCCAAAAGGAACCTGTTGGAAGTGTGAACATTCCTAGTCTTCCTGATTCTCAAGCTCTATTTGAAAACTTGTCTTTTCATATGAGGTGAAATTTACTAGGAGAAGAGTCAGGATAATGTTTACCAAGGGGAGAGTGTTTCATAAGAGAAGACCTTTGGGTAATACTGAAAAACTTAAACTGAGGCAACAAATGCAGTGAGCAGCATCTCCTTCAGAGAACATTTCAATGAGGAAAACAGAAATGCTGTCATTCTAAGATAGGGCTTTATGAATCTGGAGCACTAGTTCTGGTTTGCAGTTGACTCACTGTATGTTTTTAAACTTTTTTTTTTGTGGGGGGAGGGCTTGGTTTCCTGTCCTATGAAATGGGTCTAGTAATTTTGATCTGTTTTCCAGGAATTTGACTAGCAAATGATGACTACTTTTAAAGCAGCCTCCATGCTACAAAAAAAAAAAATCTTCTGTTTTTCACCCCTCCCCTTCTCTCCCCTCTACAATCCTCCCCCATCACCCCACTGGATTCATCAACTCATATATTTAGGACTGAAATCAACCTCAGAGGTCACCTACTCCAAAACTCTAATTTTACAAGTGAAGTAACTGAGCTTCATAAAGGCAAGGATCCTATTTATTTATCAGCGTATCAATCAACCAAGCAACAACCAGGTTATTATGTTATAAATATTAGTTATGAAGCATCAACCAGGTTCCTGGCTTTATCTGAGGCACTAGGGATGCAAATAAAAAAGCACTATGTGCACAGTAGGCACCTCAATAAATATTTATTTCATTGAATAAAATTCTATATTAAGAACACTATAGGATCATAGGGCAAGAGAGGTCTCATTTAGTCCAATCCCTTCATTTTACAGATGGGGAAACTGAGTCTCAGACAGTTACTTGCAACTAGGTAGAAAAGTGGATTGAGTGTGGATTGGAGTCAAGGAAGACCTGAGTTTGAATTTATCCTCATATACTATCTGTGTGACCTTGGGCATATCACTTAATCTTTTTCAAGTTTTAGTTTCTTTGTATGTAAAATGGGGATTATAGTAGTGTTTACCTCAGTGTTATTCTGTGGATCAAATGAAATAGCATGTGTAAAACATTTTGTAAGCCTCAAGGCACCACATAAATGCTAGATATTATCATCATCATTATTGTTCCTATTTATCCAATATTATGTAGGTAGTGAGTAGTAAAGTTGGGATTTATACCCTAGTCCTTTGGCTCACGGTGTCCTACAGCTTCAGAGATTTTCCTTATTATATAAATTCAGGAAAATATGCCTAGCTGAATTACCTTTCTTTTCACAAATATGTCTGCATTGCAGATTGCAACCATTAATGATTAAGTAGAGAAGTCTTAAATAGTTGTGACTTGCTCAGGGTCACTCAGAGAATAAGTTTCAGGGGCAATATTTGAACCCAAGAATTTCTGCCCCCAAAGCCCAGTATCTCTGTCTTTCTTTTAAGAGAAATTTATTGAAAGCAAATAGCCTTTGTAAGTAGCCATTAGTACAGTCATTTCAGACCTCCCTGATACTAAATGCCTCAGACCTTCCGATTTACCAGGCATGTGGGCCTCCTGGTCTTTGCTTCTGTTTTAGGAATATGCAAGACACAAACGGATCCAAATGGAAATGTTCTGCAAGGCCCTGCTTAGGATTTCATAGCCCAGCTTTAGAAGAATTTTCCTGGAGGCAGCTTTGGGAATGGTGTGAGACACAGAACTGCCATCCAATGGAAAAAGTTTATGTTTTCAAAAGAATTTGGTTTTAAGATGAAAAGGAGGTGTTTTTCCCTCACGGCCCATGGCAACCAGAGTGAAAAATGCCAAGTCCAGCAATGGCATAAAAATCTTGCTAAAGGAACCCAGTGTGTAACTGGGCGGTTGTCCTTAGGCCCACTTCACTCTGCTCCCCCAGCACAGAAGGCTGCTTTGTGCTTTTCTAGCTGACTCCATCACCCTGCCCCCAGGCTGCTATGAGAAGAAAAATTAAACAATAATAATAACCATTTCTTCTGGAGACTTTAAACTTCTCTAAGCTTCTGCTTTGTCTTTAGTCAAAAAACCCAGCCTCTTGTTTGGATTATTTTACCTTTCCCTACCTTTGACCTGCCCAGATGGTCCAATTTAAAAGATTTTTGAAATTTCAAAGGTCTCATATTCAGTATAAGCTATGTATCTAGCCTCTGGATCTCAGCTTGTCTATCACTGGAGTCCCACTCCTTAGTTTTTTTTTTTTAAGGCAATTGGGGTTAAGTGACTTGCCCAGGATCACACAGCTAATAAGTGTCAAGTATTTGTTCTAAGGCCAGATTTGAGCTCAGGTCCTCCTGACTTCAGGGCTGTGCTCTATCCATTGTGGCACCTAGCTGCCACTCTTTAGTTCTTTGTCAGTTTGTTTTTCTTACTAGTTTTGGGAATTCTGTGCCTCTTTCTTCCTTTCTGTACTTCTCTGACTCTGTCTCTGTCTCTCTCTTCCTTTTCCCCTCCCCCATCTTCTTCATATCACATTTTTCTCTTTCTCTCTCCTCTGGCTACTCATCTGACTATAAACATATCCAAGTCTTCCCAATCCTAAAATGACTTCCCTTTGCACTTCTACCCCATTTAGGTGCTGACAAAACCATATATTTACAGGCACCAGAACTATCTGACTCCCTAATTTGTAGAGGAAAGGAAGCTGAAGCCAAAGGTTAAGTCCAAGGTCTTGTCTGGATTTGCCCAAGGTCACATAGGTACTAAATGGCAGATTTTGAACTCAGATGATCTGACTCCAAATCCTGTATTCTTTCTACCTGACCACATTGCTTACTTTTCCTTAAAGTTTTGAAGCCAAGGATCTTAGATACCATCCAGTCCAACACTTTATTTTGCATCTGAGGAAGATGAGTCCTGTAGAATTTAAGTGACCTGTCTGGGGTTACACAGATAATAAGCAGTTAGTGATGGGATTCAAACCTAGCCAATTTTTGATTATTCATCCAGGGCTTTTACAGTATGCCATGATTTCTTATATGCCTTGACTTCTCTGCAGGATTTGACATTATTAACTACTCCTCTGCTCCTTTGCCCTTCAGAAATACCACACTGTTCTGGTTCTTCTCTTTCATATCCAGTTTCTCCTTCTCTCTCTTCATCAGCAGCCAGTTCCTTGTCCTCTTCAGTCCTCCTTCTCTTTCTTCTTCTTCTTCTTCTTCTTCTTCTTCTTCTTCTTCTTCTTCTTCTTCTTCTTCTTCTTCTTCTTCTTCTTCTTCTTCTTCTTCTTCTCTTCCTCCTCCTCCTCCTCCTCCTCCTCTTCCTCCATCTTCTCCTCTCTCTCTATCCCCCCTAAACCCCCTTCACTTCTATATTGTAAATTATCATCTCTACGTAGACAATTCTATAATCTAGGACTCCAGGCCTGCTTCCAGGCTTCAGACTGACAACTTCAAGGGCCTGCAGGACATCTAATCCTCCTTCCAGATTTGAGGTGTCCCATTGACACCTCAAACTCATTATGTTCAAAGCTAAGATTATACTCTTCATCACTAAATCTACTTAGTCCTTCTCATGCCATGATTTCTGTTATCACCATTCATCACTCCCTGAGTCTTCCATGTTTGAGAACCCGTGTTATCTCTGACTTTTTCATCTCACTCCTCTGTCTCATACTGTTAGTTACCAAGGAATTTTCTTAGTACTATCCCCAGCATTTCCCAATATCCCTAAGATCAATAACAATTCAAATCAAGATTGAATTTCTCTGGTTTAATGCCCGTTGGTTTAGGCCCCTATATTCAACCCAGGATAGATTGCTCTTTGGACATGTGATCACTTGAAATGTTCAATAAGTGAAATTCAAGTTGCTGTTGATCAGTGAGCAATGGGTTGAAGTGAGGTCAATTTGAGGGAACCTCAGGCCCAGAAGTGATTGGTTAGAGCTAGAGGTAATCATGTTTGATAGAGAAGGCTTAGTGACAGAGTTAACTTAGATGTTTCTTTCTCAGCTTTTATGCAGAGACCTGTTCTTCATGTTTCCTGATCCCTGAGTTCTGACTTTCATGCGTGACTTGTGATTGCTATTTTCATTCTGTTTTCTGACTTATTCTAGATGTAAGAAATGTACCCATATTTTAGATTGACAAGATGCTGCCACAATTCTGACAGCCTAGTTCCAAAGCATAAAAAAGCCACATTTCATTAGCAACAAACTTGCCAGCGTACTTAGCTTAATGAGTCAGTTTGACATTTAAAAAGAATTCACAAAGCTTATTTATTTTCAGCATCCCCTCTAGTGACATTCTCCAGAGGAAGTATGGCAATTCAGTTTGTTCAAGTTTCAGTTTTGAATGTCATTTTATTTGAATGTTTAAGACTGTGTAATAGTGACTTTATTTCTTTAACCAATTCTCTTTCTGCTCATGGAGACTGGACTCAAACAAAATTCTAAAATTTCTTCTCATCAGGACTCACGCATAAAAGGCTGATTTCATGTGTTAATCTTGGGATGCCACAGCCTCTTCAACAAGTTACTGCTTTTGTACTTTGGAGTCCTAGATTCCATGAACTCTAGGTGTGTGGTCTTGAATTCCAGGGAAGTTTTTTTTTTTTGTACCACAGCCTTAGGGGTGATCTGAATCACCACTAGGATTGTTGTTATTGTTCAGTCATTTCAGTCATTCTGACTCTTCATAACCCTATTTGGAGTTTTCTGGGCAAAGATGCTGGAGTGATTGGCCATTTCTTTCTCCAGCTCATTTTGCAGATGAGGATACTGAGGCAAAAAGGGTTAAGTGACTTGCCCAGGGTTACACAGCTAGTAATTGTCTGAGGCCAGATTAGAACTCAGGCCTTCCTGACTCCGGGCCTGGTATTCTATCTATTGTGCCACCACTAGGATTACTAAAGATCAAAAGAAACAAACAACCAAAATCCTTCACAAATCAAAAGAAACAAAGGATAAAATCCTGCTATAACACTCTACATTATTGTCATTTTTGTGTTTGATGTTTCCTCTCGACACAGGGTCCCAGGGACTGACACTTCCTTGATTCATCATCTCTTTCCCAAATAATTTGAAATGTGACTATTTTACACTCTATCCTGACACCCAGGGTGTAGTCATCAATTTCCTTTGCAAGCACATAGGTACACAAAGTATAATGAATGTATAGATTTATTTATGAATTATTAAAAAAAATTGAACTCATAGAGTTCAAAAAATATTCCCTAGAAAATAATCTTTCCCATTGGTGAGCAAATCTCTCCCCAGAAGCCTGAATGACATCATCTGATTACAGTTACAACCTGAATGGTAGATTCTGTTTCTGGGCCTCTAAGTTCATCACTCTGTAGGTATTTCTTCCCAGTGTGGCTTTCAAGGCACTGAAGATGTTTTCTCCTCCATTGCTTCTACAATTCTTTGCACCATACTTCTTTGTTCATATCACTCCAGTATTCTTCTGATTTTTGCCTGCTCTTGGCTATTATAGCCCATCCCAGGATTCAGAACTCCCTTCTTTCTCTGCCATATTACTATTAAGAGACTCACCATCCTCTAAGTCACCCATACTTGGGGTTGATGGGGGCACGATACAAGTGGTAGCTAGGTAATACCATAGTGTGCAGAGCACTGTCAGGAAGACCTGAGTTCAAATTCAGCCTCAGAGACTTCCTAGATACATAATCCCTGGCAAGTCACTTAATCTCTTTTTGCCTCAGTTTCTTCAACTGTAAAATAAGGATAACAATAGCATCTACCTGCCAGGGTTGTTGTGAGGATCAAAAGAGATGAATTTTTAAAATGCTTAGCATAGTAAGTGCTTTACAAATGTTAGCTATTTTTACTGATATTTTCAACTTTTAACACAGTTGTCTGCTCCTCAGCTCCTCATCTTGGACCCTGTCTTCTTCACTTTGTGACACGGCTCTCTCCTGCTTCTCCCCCTGCCTATCAGAACCCTCCTTCTCAGGCAAATACTCTTTTATTTTTTTCCTGGGTCACCATCCATATCCCCCAGGGCTCTGTCCTCAGTCCCCAACTCTTGTCTTTCTATGCCATTTCTTAGTGATCTCATCAACTCTCATGGGTTCAATTATCATCTCTCTCTATTCCTTCCTGTTCTCTTTGTCCGGCCTTATTATCTCTTCTGAGCTACCGTGCTACCCCACCAACCATCTCCTGAGCATCTTGTCAATTCTAATTCCATAACACCTCTCATATGTGTCAGCACCAGGTTGAGGGCTTCATCACCTGCCCTGTTACAATTGCTTTTCACTTGGTCTCCCTCCTTAAGTTTCTCCCCTCTCAAAATAATTTTCCACGTGGCTGTCAAGGTGATTTTTCTAAGGCACGGCTATGACTGGTTAGTCCTCTTCTCAGTAAAATCCCTTTTAGCTCCAGGATTAAACAGCATTTACAACAGGTTGCCTTCACAACCTTCCCCCAACCTCTTAATCAAGCTGTAAATTTTGCCTTTTCACTGGTTGTCTCTTGCATCTAGAACGCTAGCTCTCCAACCTAACCCCTACATTGTGAATTCCCTGGCTACCTTCAAGAATCTGCTTAAAACCCACCTTCTTCAGACCTTTCTTTCCCTGTCCTTCCCACCCCACCCCCAATTTCCATAGTGCCTTTCCTCTGAGACTCATTCCACTTTCACTGAATGTATCTTGTATGTACAATTTTTTTGTATATTGTCTCCTCCATTAGAATGTGAATTCCTTGAGGGCAGGGACTAGTTTTTTGTCTTTATTTGTATCCCTAGCACTTAGCACAGTGCCTGGAACGTGGCAATTTCCTAATCAATGTTTCATTTCTAACTGACTAAACTCACTCTTCTTCTCAACTTCTCTACTTCTGTTGAGAAAACAATCATTCTACCAGTCACTTGGGTTTGCAACCTCAACCAATGAACATTCTAGAAGCCTAGAGGGGTTTAAGAACCTCTTAATGAGCCAGGGGATTTAGTCAGGAAAAGTTTCTAATTGAAGTTTCACACAATATTCTTTCTTCATGTTTCTATCATTGGCAAAGCAGTAACAAACAAGAGCAGTGAATAAAATAGACCCTGGAATGGAAGGTGCTATGCTGTCCTTTTAGTGCAGGGTGAGATAAGACCCATCATTCCCAAAATGTAATTATAATCTGAAACATTCCAAGATGAAAAGGTTGGAAATGTAATATGTTATTAAAGCTTTTAAAAGTGTTGTCTTAAGGCCAGACTTTATATTCAATGCAATGACATATAATTAAGTCTGAATACTTGAACTCATGATCCTCAGCATAATACACTCAGACAACAATGCTTAAAGGGTCCATGTTTTCATTTGTGTGGATGCTCATTCTGCCAACACTGGCATGGCCTTTGAAGATGCAGGGTCACTTTCATGGCTCTCTTGTAGGAGGATTGGAGACAGATTCCAGCCAAGGTTCATCTGGGTCAAAAGTGATGGTAGGTCATAGTATGCAGTTAGGCAATAGATGTTTGATGTAAATAGGTGACACCTTTCCCTGCTGAGATTTAGGGAACAGCAAGTGGTTGATAGTTTAGGAGGGGTTGTGTTTGTATATCTGTCTGTTTTTTTCCCCCTTTGGTGCTTGCTAATTCATTTTTAAAATTTTATTGACATATTTTTATTTTACACCTTCATTTCTAGATGTGTCTCTCCCTTACTCAGCAAGCATTCTATGGTAAGAAAGAATAAAAGAGAAAGAAAAAGAGAGGCAGTTCAGCAAAACCAACCCACACATCAACTATAATCTGATAGTATATTAAATTTACAATCCCAAAGGCCCCACCCCCACTCCTTACAAAGAAGAGAGGAAAGCACATCTTCTTAGTTCTTTTCTGGAATCAAACTCAATCATTACACTTAAATAATGTTTGGTTTTTTTGTTCTGCCCATTTGCATTAATGTAATCCTTGGGTATATTGTTCTCTTTGTAATACTTACTTCACTCTGCATCAGTTCATGTCTTCTGTGCTTCTCTGAGTGTTTTGTTTCTTATAGTGTGGCAATATTACATTGCATTCTGTGCTGCAATTTGTTTAGCCATTTTCCAATCAGTGGGCACCTACTTTAGTGTAAGATCTTTTATTCTTCTTTCTTTTTTTTTTTTTAACCAGATTTCTGACTTTATTGGTATAAGGAACTCCCAGTAGTTAAACTCTCTGTACCCATGCAGGCCAGCAACTATTCTGAATCTTATGGTCTTAGTTACCTGGGTTACTAAGAAGATAAGTGACTTGCCCAGGGCAGTACAACCAGTATGAGGCAGAGGTAGGACCTGTACTCAAGTCTGTCTATCTGAAGCTAGCTTGCTATCTACAATGCCAACACTGCTGCTTTACTCCCCTAAGAGTCCTACTATGAATATTGTGGCGTTTATTTTCTTGAGCTATATGCCTACCAATGGGATCTCTGGGTCAAAAGTTATCATCGGGTTTTTTTAAATAGGTTCCATAACAGACATTCCTCTTCCTCCTTAAGTCATCTGAAGACATATATCCCACCATCTTCTTCTCATCCAGTGTCATAGCTGCAACCACTGAGATGTTACCACATCTAGAAGTCTACAGGACAGCTAGGCAGCTGCCAAACACTGAGATGAGGGTGCTGTGGTGATGATAATAATGAAAATGAGAACTCCCATTTCCACAGTACTTGAAAGTTTACAAAAGGTTATCCTCATACTAATATTTTGAGGTAGGTACTATAAGTATTATTCTCTCTACAGATGAGCAAACTAAGGTAAATATAGGAGCAGTGATGTGTAGTCACTCAACTAGTAAAGAGCTTAGGTCTGAACTCTTCTCACTCCTAAAACCAGTGCCATAAGGCTCTTCCACTTGGGTTTTAAATGACTTTGAGCAAGGTACCTTCTGAAATAGCTTCCTATTCAGTACAGGAGCTAAAAACTGTATATTTTGGGGGCAGCTAGATGGCATGGAGGATAGAGCACCAGTCCTGGAGTTAGGAGGACCTGAGTTCAAATCTGACCTCATATACTTGACACTTACCAACTGCATGGCCCTGGGCAAGTCACTTAACCCAATTACCATACATACATACACATACATATATGTATATATGTATATACATACATATGTATATATACATAATATGTGTGTGTATGTATATATGTATATATATATATATATATATATGTATGTATATATATGTATATATATATACATACATATATATGTATGTATGTATATTTTCAAAGCTGGTCAAAAGGTTGACAATAAAGGTCAGGGGAGAAGCCCACAGTCACAGGACAGAGTTACTGCTTCATCAAAAGTCTCATGGACACTACCAGAACTTTAACAGAAACAATCACCTAATTCCTGGCCAAATTGGCCAGGCACCCTACAGTCCTGACAACATATAAACTTGGAAACTTCCTTGTAAGTCGATACAACACTAAGCAAAATTCACCAAAATTTGGAATGTTCTCATCCAAGTGAACTGTTTTGAGGCAGTGAAGTGTTTTCTCTGGTCCCTACCATCACACTACCTCAATAGCAAAGGAAGGCACCTGGGATTGACTGACCTGTCCCTATCTCCCCTCACCCTACCTATCCTGACCCCCAGATATTATGGGGAGATACCTAGAATTGGTTGGTTTTTCCTAATGATCCCCAGATATGATAGATGCTAGAGAAGAGGATGCTCAGAGAGGTAATAGGTTTACAGAGCTATGGAGTGGAAGACATACAATATAGGATACAATATAGGAAATTAGGAAGAGAGGAGGGTTTGGAGGGGAAAGTTAATGAGTTACTCAGGCCGCAATAGCCAGCTTGGTCACAGTCCTTCAGGAGCTAAAGGCTGCTTGGGGCTGCAACTTGGAAACAACAGCTCTGCAAAGTGCTAGGCCAGAGAACTGAAGAATACAAGGAGTGGGACAGGTCACTAGGCGAAGACACTGTGTGCATGGGGGAGGGGATGGGTAGCACTCCCCCAAGGGAAAGAACATAGCAACCAATTGGGGCCATATCTCACCATCCAAAAGTCATTTGGGGCAGAGACCTAGGCTGGTGAACCATGAATTGCCCAGTGTGAAGGGAAGCTAAGATGCTTTGAGATCCAGCCCCCAAGGAAAAGAAAATCAGAGGGGAGGGAGTCAGGAAGTCAGTGATAAAGAAAATAAGGGGGGTGGGGTAGGAAAGAAGGTTATTAAATAGGATTATTTCCTTAAGCCTATTCTGTTCAGAAGAGCTATTGTGATACTATCCTTTTCAGGGCACCTGTGGTGAGGAGCTGGTGCCCATAATGTTCCTTTATGTTGTTTCTTGCCTAAGGGGGAATGTGAATTGGAAGACTCTCCCAGCATCTATCAAGGGCACATAAACAATAGTAGGTTTGAAGGCCTGTGCTTTGTCCTTGAGCTTCCTCCAGTCCTAATCCCCAAACAGAGTTGCTTTTAAGATGCAATGATATGAATTTTTGAATGGCTTCCCTTAATCAATGTCACTTACACTTGCACTGGTGCCAGTGGGAAGTGTCAGTCACATAAACCCTTTAGCTCCACTGAGTGTACAAACAGGTAGCTCCTTGAGGCTTCCCCACCTTTGTTATCTGCTTAAGATTAATGGACTGATTGTCTGCAGTTGGTGGCTATGGCCCCAGGTATAAGTGAACGCTTAACTAAAGTCAGGCAGGAGACAAATGATCAGGGCTTTGACTTCAGACTGTCTTATGTTCATATGGCACTTTCAGTTGTCTAAAACAACCCACTGTGTGATACAGGTAGGTATAATAATGATCTTGCACATATCTCATTCATAGTTATTTGCCTGGAATATTTGTTGTTATTGTTATTCAGTCCTTTTCAGTTGTATCTGACTCTTCATGACCCCTTTTGGGGCTTTCTTGGAAAAGATCCTGCAGTGGTCTGCCATTCCTTCTCAGTTCATTTTACAGATGAGGAAACTGAGATTAAAAAAGCTTAAATGACTTGCCTGTGGTTATATGGTGTCTGAGGCCAGATTTGAACTCAGGTCTGAGTTGGAACAGGAAATGGCAAGCCACTTGGGGAAAACTCCAAATGGGGTCATTAAGAGTCAGCTGTAACTAAAATGACTGAATCATAAGTATATCATCAATTGATCTTGACAGCAACTCTGTGGGATAGGTGTTTATTTTCATCCCCACTTTACAGATGAGGAAACAGACTAAGAGAGGTTAGGTGAATTGTCCAGAGTCACATAACTAAATGAGGGTCTGAAGCAGGATTTGTACCCAGGTTTTCCTGACTCTGAGTCCAGCATTCTCTCTGTTGTGATACCTGCCTGCCTATTGGACATTCTCAACTCTGTACCAGCATACTGATATTCTAAGATAGCTTCATCTACTCTTTTGGTGTCCTAGACTCACTCCGACACTGATAAATGGGGCTGATGCCAGGCCCAACAAATCCATGGCAGATTTTAAAGGGGCAAGACTGAGACTAAACCAGACCTAATGGTGACCGGGCGTGCCTGTCTCCCCCGCCCCACCCCCAGCTGCTGTCGGTGTGTGATTCTGGACAGTCATAGGGCGCCATGGGAGTGTTAGCTTCAGGGCCATTTGGTCTAGTGCTGAAAATGCAGAGACAGGAAATCTATCATCAAGTCTTTATTAAACACTTCCTTTGTGCTAGGCATGGTGCTGGTGATACAAAACCGAAAATGAATCCTTTAAGGAGCTTTTGCTCTATATGGGGAGAGAACATACACACAAATAAGTATATAAAAAACAATCGTTGAGATTAATTTTTGTAGGGGAAGTTACTGGTAGTTGGGGAGAAGATTGGAGAACACTACATTTGAACAGTTTTGAAAGAAACAAGAGTTCCTCAGAGGAACTGAAGAGGGTGGGAGTGCACTCCAAGCACAGGGGGGTAGTCAGTGCAAATCTGTGGAGATGGGAGATGGGGTGTTGTGTGAAAAAGAAAAATTGAGACTGAAAAGTTCCTCATGTGGTCTGAGCCCTTGTGATTCAGTGACTGTAGGAGGGAATCAACCTGGTAAGCAGCGCTTAGGTAAAATCTGCCTGGTGGCAGTTCTAGCCAGTCTGCTGGTAGGAGTTAAAACGGTTCAGCTTGATGAAGTTGGATTGGATTGTAAAAGCAAGAAAATGACAGTGATCACTCCTACAAGGACTATGTCAGTATGGCACACTGCCCATTTTACTGACACTTTGCAGAAAAATAGCTTCACTGTTCATGCTCCAAAGGTGTATAGATTTCCTCTCAGTTTGAGAGTGTATTGTTCAACCTAGGTATCAGGTGGGATGACTATATATATGTGTGTGTGTGTATATATATATATATATATATATATATATGTATGCCTACACAAGGTTTTGGCTTTGGCTACATTCACCTGTTGACTGATTAGCCACATTGTCACCAGCCTGAGTTATCTTGCCAAGAAATACTTTCTCCCCTCTTGTTTATTATTCACTCCTGAATAGCCTTCAATCTTAGCCAACTAAAATTAACCATAGGACTGGAGAGAGCTTCTGATTTCTCTTGATTTCCTTTAGCCAGTGGGAGTAAACTCTGTAGTGCTTTTCATAAGTGGTAGTTGGGCTGGATGTGTTACATCACCTTTGGCTCATTTTAACCCTTCTGTGGACTCATACAATCAGTACAATTTGAAGAAATCATTAATACGTGGCTAGATGCAATCCTTTAATACCCTATGAACACAATATGATACCTGTTTTAATAAAGGTAGCCTTATGACATTGCTAGTACATATAATCTATGTGACTAATTTTTTTTACTTCATGGTTTGTTTTCGAATTAAACCGAAAGGTAGAAACAGAAATAATCTAATAGGGCCACATTTTCTGACCAGAATTGTACACAGATAAGAGAGATGCATTTCCTGATTTCTGCATTTCCCTATTGACTTAACAATTTGGCATGGGGTAGCAGAAGGAATGCTGGAGTTGAAGTCAGAGAACTTGGGCTCAAATCTTGCCTCTGATAACACCCGTGTAACCTTGGTGCAAGTTTCTTAGCCTCTTTAGTCCTCAGTTTCCTCATCTAGAAAATGAAGAGATTGGACTGATGACCTCTGAGATCCCTTATAGCTCTAAATTTATGATCCCATGAATTTTCCTTACTTGATATAATTGATAAAAGCATGTAACATGTAGCATGTGATTAGGTATGAATGAGAGTTCTGATGCTGATTAGCTGGGTCAGTTTGAGTGAGTTATTCATCTCTCTAGACCTTAACATCCTTTATTCAGAAAAAAATGTTGGACTAGTTGGCCTACATTCCATTTCTAAAGTGCTGTGATCCTAAAATACTTGAAGGTGTCTTCATGGATCTATACTAGAACCCCTTCCTTCTAGTGACTTCTCCAGGTAGAATTACTTGGACCTACCCTTCATTTTCCCTGTGATTACTGAGGTAGTAGGAAGGCATTTTAGCCTTGGGCTTAGCAAAACTATGGAGGTGAGAGATGGAATGTCATCTCCATAGCTAGAATATAGATTATGAGGGGATATATTGTGAAAATAGCCTAGAAATATAGATGAATTAGATGGTAAAGAGCTTTAAATACCAAGGAAAACAATTCATATTTTTTACCCTGTTTTAGAAACAGTGGGGACACATTGAAGCTTTTTTGAGCAAGGAAATGACAGGTTCAGACCTGTTCCTTAGGAATATCAATTAGAATATGAACTGGAGAAAGTAAACACTTGGGTTCACTAGGGAGAACTTTTTGATGCTAGGTTAGTAGAGTAAGCAGGACATGGTGAGGGTCAGAACTAGTGTGGTAGCCATGTGAGTGAAGAAAAGATGGATGAGGAAGATGCTGCGGAGGTAGAATAAATAAGAATTGGCAACCACCAACAACCAGTTGGATGTGGTGCTGGTGAAGAGTTGGGGATTACTCCAAAGTTGTGAATTTGGGTGAATGGAAGGATGGTGATACTCTTGAGGGAGACAGGAAATTAGGAAGAGGGTGCTTGAAAGCTTGTTTCCAGACAAATACACAGCATAAAGGAAGAATTTCAAACAAAGATGAATGGTGGTGGCTTAAAGTGACTTACCATAGGGAAGTCACATTCTTCTATGTGTGTTTATTCCTTTGCCTTTCTCCCATTCGTTTGCAGGAGAAACTAAAAAAAATAATCTTGGTGCAGAGAAAAGTGGGAGGCTTCAGATCCAGAAACCTGATGGTAGTTGAGAGAGAAATCCCTAAGATATTCATTCCTTACGGGATGAGTTCTGGTAGTTGGATATAAAATATGAGTTTTAAAGATTTTCCCAAATAGAATTTTTGACTGAAATTTGAAGGATTTGATTTATACCTCCCAACTCAAAAGCTTAGACCTTTTGGCTCAAAATTCACCATATATGGGAGAGCCCAAACAAATGTATGTAGCACCTGGGACACTTCCCTCTTGCATATAGGGCACCAGGAAAAGCTATTTCAACTTCAAAATTTGCTGCAGGTCTTCATTCACTCAAAATGGATGGAGGATTGGCACAGAAACTCTGCTTTTGGTAAGTAGATAGTTTAGATTAATATAAACTAAATATAAATTAAATATAATAAACTAAAATAATAATAATAATATAATAATAAAAATAATAAAAAAACCTAAATATAAATAGGTATAAATATAAACAACACCTGCAGGCACTAGTTAGTTAACTGGTTGCTCTGTGTTCCAAAAGAGTTGGAATGCTGGAGATAAAACTGTTTTTATAAAGGAAAAGCCTATCATTGCCAAAGTTATGATAGATAGATTTTCCTCTGGGGAAGAAAATAGCCAAAGGTTTCATACTAAGCATGTAAGAGCTCTTTCTAAAAGAGTCAAAGTTTATACCTATGAATTCTAAGCTGGGAGAATGATGGCTGAGGCCTCTCTGCTTTCTCTTATGGAGAAGATGGAGCACCTCAGTTGAGAATTCTAGTCAAAGCCAGAAAGTGGTTGCGGAAAGACCTTTCACAACCATGTGATGCCTAGTTGTAACCGTTTGGGTTTGAGTTGTTTGTCCTTCATTTGCCAAGAGGACCAATGACATCATGAGGTTGAATTGTATTTAAGTGAGGCAGAGCTGTGCAACATCATCAGCCTTACTCCCTCCTCCAGTCATTGGAGTCCAATGGCAAAACATACGTCAAGATGATGGTGATGGCCACTTAGCTGCAATAAAAAAAACAGTAACAAGACCAAGAGAACCTTGACAAGTAGCACCCATGGCAGACTAGCTGGAAGCAGTGATTAGCAGAGGCTCTACATCTGGAAGAGATTGAAGGCCATATCAAATCAAGGGGAAGCAGAATTAGTCAGAGTCCTGGAGTCACATCAACAAAAGAGATTGGTGGCCCTATACCAGTGGAGGTATGATTTGTGGCTCTATGTTTCTACTCTGGCCACATATGCACTCTTCTATATGTGTGCCCTGGTCATATATGTTCCACATGTGTGCCCCCTCCATATATGTGCCCCCTCTGTGACTGTTCCTTAGACACATGCATTTCTCTGCATCTGTACACCTTTACCCCCACTTTCCTTAGGTGTGTCCACTCTTTCCACTGATTTTTTTTGTAGTGGGACACTGTGCCCCAAAATTTCCTTTGGGGGGATATTCTATAGCTAATTTTTTCCCCTCTTCTGCTTCATTAAATGATTTTGTTTTGAACTGATCATATCTATTTTCTGACTAGTAGAAGTGAATACATTGGTAGGGATTTGTGAGCTGTGATTTTGAATGAATGAAAAACCTGCAGCAAACTTTGAACTGGTAGTATCCATTGTGGAGGCCTCAAATGCAAAAGGAAAGTGCTTGAAGTAATCTATCTGCTTATCTGTGCTTCCCTAGATCCAAAGGGCCAAAGCTTTTGCATTGGGAAGTCTAAATCTGATACTTTAAATTTAGGTGAGAACGTTTACAAAGAACCAAACAATTTTTCAAAACATTTTCAGCCATTAGTTAGCCAAGGTCAAGACACAGGGCATGGAATCTTGTATTCAGAAGGCAATCTAGCCCTAATGCCCACTTGCAGATGAGGAAACTGAGACTTGGAGAGGGACACAGAACTAACTAGTGGTCAAGTTGAGATCTTCAAAACCAGTCATCTTTCTACTACGAGGTGGTGATTTCACACAACTAAGAATTCCTATTTTGTCCTTGTAACATATACATATACACATACATATATACATATACATACACACATAAGTGTGTGTATATATGTGTGTGTGTATATACACACACACACTATATATATATATATTTATTATATATATACATATACATATATATTTATATATATATATGTATATGTATATGTATATATATATAAATATAAATATATATATATATATATATATATATATATATATATATATATATATATATATATATATATATATATATATATACTCATCTCTCCTGAGCTACAGAGGGAGAGGCTTGATTGAAGAGGCAATAATTAATTTGATTAATATTTTTATACATTGAGGTTTAAGTTCTTCATTCTGACATCAATGCATGCCAAGCACCCACTTCTGAAAGTAGTTAAGCTCAGGCTTGATAGAAGATGTTTAGTTCTGTATTTAGAACTGATGTAATCAGGAAGAGTGTCAGTGAGTGTCAGTTCTGTTGTGCCCCAAGATCTATACAACTTACTATTCTCTTCTGCTTTGAATTTCCTGACCCATCATTAGGTAGAGAGAAGTCAGAACAGTAGCAACTGTTAATGAAGTTGATATCTTTTTAAAAAAATAATAATTATTTATTCAAGGTAAGATTTAACCTATTATCTTAAGTACTTAATTTTAAAATTTATTTTATTTTATTTTTAATTTATGGAATAAAACAAAAGTGAAGTTGATGTCTTACCCTGAAATGTATGTGTGTCTGAAGAGGAGTGTTCTGGGAAATCTGGAGAACTGAATTATTGACCCAAGGCTCCAAACATATGATGTGCTACACAAAAGAAGCTTTTCTTTAGGTGCATTTCTAGGTTCCTCTGATGAATGAATTCTGTTGAGAAAATATTTTGGTTATTGTAGATAGTAATTATTTTAATTTTAACAAGTTTTACAGTTTTTTATATCTGAAAAATGAATGTACACCCTTTTTTCTCTGACAATGTAAATTCCACCCATTCTTTAAAAGCCAGTCTAAATTCTCCATCATGAATTCTTCTTTGATTCTTTTAGTCTATATTCATTTTTCCTTTCTCTTATTTCTTATAGCTCTTAGAGTCTGTACTACACAATAACATACTTGATTATTTTCTTTTGAATAGTTTCACAACGGTCTCCTATGTAGATGCTTTATCTCTCCAATGAGATAGTGAATTTCTTGAGAAGGGTCACATTTGGATGTATCCCCTATAGCACTTAGGCAATACTGAGCGTATACTGGCTGCTCAGTAAATACTTGGTGTTAGAACTTGTAATTACTTGTAATTAGAGTCATAACTAGGGCAGAGTGGCTGGGGTTTTGCTAACAGCACTCAACTCCTTTGTCAGATAAAAAACAGCTAAGCTTAGCACCTAATTTATTAAAATAGTAAGTTATCAGATAGCATGCTTCCTCATCCTAGTATGGAATCTGAGATGAGCTCTTCCCTGCCCCAGTCCCTTGCCTGTTGCTGTCTTCCGTGGCAGTGGCCTTTGTAACAAACAGCCTCTCAGTTTCTGCCTATTGGTCCAATGTCCTGGGTCTTTCCCCTGTGGAACCTTGTGTCCTTAGTTCTGATCCAATATATGTCCCCATGCTTCCCACTACCCCTGCTCAACTCAGTTTTTTTAAACTTGATTTGAGGGTCCCTCATCTGATACTTGCTTCAAGAACTATCTTGCTATGCTTATACCAAAATTGCTAGTTACAGCTCTGCTTTGAAGTGGACCCCCTCCACTCATCAAATTGTCTTTTGTGACAAATGAATGGCCTTGGAAGCCTTAGACATCAGGAATCTTAGGTATGATTTTTGTATTGCAAAGGGCTGAAAACTATTCTCTCTACAAATCATACGTTCATAGTACTTTGGGAACCCCTGCCCCAGGATGAAGAGAATCTGGCTTTAACAGATCAGATATTCCCATTCTCTGTGGTCAGGCCAAACCTGTTGTCTGAGTAAAGGTAAGAGGGAGGCATCAGCAATGGGGGCGGAGTCTCAGGGGACCACGTGGTCCCCATCCTCCGGGGGCTGAGAATTGGGCACTTTGCTTCTTTGCTCTCTTCTTCCCTACAGCCCCCGTATTTCCCAGTAGGCCATGAGCACAGGGACTTCTCTGCCAGTGGGTGTGCTAGGAATAGAAGGCTGACAGATGACGGGCACTGTGCTAGAGCAGCAGAACTGAGAGAATGGAAAAACTGATCCCATAGGAGGTTGCTTGGGCCACCCTGCCAATTCAGCTGGAGCTGGAGGAAGCGCTTTCAAAACAGAATGTGGAGGAGCTGGCAGAACAGAACAGGGAGGCTTGCCAGGGCTTGCCAACTCACTATCTGAGACTGGGTGGATTCCACATGGCTAAGTCACAGCTTTTCAAATGTTATTGTACCTCGCGACTACCTTCTGTGCCCTTGTCAACCCTTAGAATGATCTGGACTAAGGCTATTTAGGCAAAGGTCAGAGAGAACAGTTCTGTGATCCAGCCATGCCAGGATCTTATGCTGCATAAGACACTCTAAAGTGAATACCCTAAGTGGGTTTTAATCTTAGTAGAGGGCTTTGTAGCTGCCATAGGATTTGGGGAAATTTACTTTAAATGAGACTAGTGATTTCATTGGGGGCAGCTAGGTGGTATAGTGGATAGAGAACTGGGCCTAGAGTCAGGAAGATCTGAGTCCAATCCAGCCTCAGACACTTACTAGTTGTGTGACCCTGGGCAAGTCACTTAACCTATTTGCCTTAGTTCCTCATCTGAAAAATGGGAATGCACTGGAGAAGGAAATGGCAAACCACTCCAGTATCTTTGCCAAGAAAACCTCACATACAAGTCCATGGATCCATGAAGAGTCAGACACAACTGAATGATTGACTGAATTAAATGAATGATTTCATTGGTATATGGAACTCTTTCCTGATCAACAAACTTCCTCTACCAGTGCAGATCAATACCTGTTGTGCAATTTAAAGCCTCAGAGAGCTGCCTGGGATCATGGAGAGGTTAAGAGACTTGCCTAGGGTCACATAGCCATTGTCAGCCAGGCAGTCAAGAAACAGTTATTAAGCATCTACTATGTGCCAGGCACTATGCCAAGCCCTGGAAGTACAAAGAGGAAAAAAAGTCCCTGCCCTCAAGGAGTTTATAATCTAATGGGAGAAGACAACACACAAAATAAGTGGTGGGGGGGAGAGGCAGAAGTTATCTATGGGGACATAATGGAGGAGCCCAGAGACATAAAACAGGTGGGAAATGAAGGTTGGCTGCTTTGGGTATCCTCCTTAAGAGGAGGTTCTGGAAGGAGCTTTCAATCCTCCAGTCAGAGGGCGGGAACCCAGGGGCAGAGGATACCTCTGAGTTGAGATCCAGGGCTGAAAGGACCTTCTAGGATGAAAAGGTTCCTGGGGTACAAAGGAGAAATACAGCTAATGCAGCCAGGTAGGAAATGAACATAGTGCTTTTGAACCATCCGTCTGTCTCTGAGGCCACGTTTCTCTCTACTATACCATGTTATCTTCAGGAAATTCAGGACTTTTAATTTCATCGGTGAGGAATATTCTGAGGATTGAAACAGCTTTGATCAGACAGCTTCCTCTCTTAAGTCTGATATTCCCTATAAGAATCAATCCAGTGATCAGCAAACACTTATTAAATGTCTACAATGTATCAAGCACAGTGCTGGTTTCTGGAGGTTCACATACAAAAGCAATCTCTTCCCTCAAGCATCTTACTTTCTACCGGGGACACTGCAGGCAGGAAAAGAGTCCTCATCTTTAAAATGAACAGGTGACACGATCCCTAGGGTCCTTTCTAGCAAACATCCTATGAGGTAGCGTGGAGAAAAAGGCAAGGGGAGGAGGAGCTGAATATTCATTTGAAGACATATATTTAGATCTGTGATCTGGGAGAAGGACTACACTTGTTTTACTCAGCCTCAGATGGTACACCTAGGAACAATGGATGAAAATTGCGGCAAGATGGTCTCCAGGGGAAAACAAAAACACAAAAACTTCCTAGCAATTAGAGCTACCCCAAGTGGAATGGGCAGCCTATGACTAGGTAATGAGTTCCACCTTAATTCAGGTCTTCAAGTAAAAACTGGATGACCACTCCTTATTTGGGAATGTTCCTATTCGGGTACAGATAAGACCTTCTGAACTCCCTTCTGTCTCCAAGATTTTGTGCTTCTTTTGTGATTCTTAGCACCCCTTCAAGTTGAATTTCTTCAGTTTCACAGGTGGCTCACCCATACGGAACTCTCAAAAGGACTACTCACAGCCTGTGAAGGCCCAACACAAGTTATCTCAGTTCAGAAGAAGTAAACCTGTTTCGCCAGTTGACTTCATCTCTTTTTCCAGCAACATGGAAAAACAAATAAACCAGTGGTACTGTAAGGCCTATTCCCCTGGAGGTGTTGGTAGGGTGGAGTGAGAAGAGTGGTATTGTTGGAGGAATCAGTTGTGACCTGCTTGGAGGAGATGAAATTGATTGAGACTTAAACCTCACAGAGGAATCTTTGAAACAGCAAGTTCAAAAGAAAGGGGATCCACTGATGTAGATCAGGGATGATTAGAGTTCATTTGATGGAGGAAAAGGAGCCCTAGACATTTGTAAGCGTTGACCTGATGCTGGCTGAATTATGTAAATTTTGGTTAGATTTCATTTTGCTTTTCATCCTAGGAAATCTGGAAAAAAAAAGGTGGAGAGAGGTTAGGGAAGACTGAGGAACTTTAAATTTTATGCAGGAAAAATAAAGGGAACACATAACAAAAATTAATTTAAACCTAAAACCTTAAAAGGATAAGGAAAAACAGATGACTCTAAGCGGCAATAGGAAAGGTCATTTTAGAAGGTAGCTTCCCTCCCTCTCTCCCTTCCTTTTGTCTTTCCTCCCTCCCTCCCTTCCTCCTCTCTCCCTTCCTTCCTTCCTTCCTTCCTTCCTTCCTTCCTTCCTTCCTTCCTTCCTTCCTTCCTCCCTCCTTTCTTCTTTCCTTCCTTCCAATGGAAGTGTCAACTTTTACTTTAGGTAAACACCCCCTCCCAACCAAAAACATCTATTTAAGGAAGTTTGCTCCTTAAATTTTAAGAGTTCTTTGTCATTCAGTGGGATTGTAAAGGAAATGGGCATAGAATCACAAATCTACAACCAGAAGGAAACTTAGAGGCCACTGAACCCAATCTTTTCATTTGACAGATGAGGAAACTGAGGCACCAAGAGGTTAAGTGACTTGCTCAGGGTAGTCACACAGATAATTTCCAAGTCATGATCTTAACCTAGTTTTTTTCTTTCCTGGATTCAGGAATCTATCCATTATACATTACTGCCTCTCCAATCTTAGGGAGATCAGCAAGGGTTACATTTTAAAGTAGTTTCTTGAATTTCAAGAACCGTTCAAGAGCTTTGTAAAAATTTCAAGACAGGAGCAATTAAATACATAGGACCTTAACTATTCAAATGGATATATTGCTCTCTGATTTAGATGTTAAAACAATAGCAAGTCAGAACTAAAGCGCTGTTAGAGATCATCTGGTAAAGCATCCTCATTTTGCTGATGAAGGAAAGGAGGCTCTGAGAGTTTACATGACCTGCCCAGGTTTCTTGACCTTTGTTCTTTGTAATTTTTCCATTATACTTTGTTAGACTCAAAAAAATGAAAGTTGAGTCAGAGTATACAGAACTGATAATGATGAAAGGGTGGGTGACAAGTTCTTTAGGGGAAAATCTAGGAAATGTGGAAGAAATAATTTATGTAATCAGAAGTCCCTTGGTACTTCCCTTCTTTCCTAATTTATCACCCTTTTCTAGCCTCCACTGATTTCATAGTGGGAAGGGACCAGAGGGGATCTGTTGCTTCTCTCATCCTCTCTCTCCACCCCACCCTGGCCCCCAACTCCTGAACAGGAAGAATCTTCTCTACAAAAAGTATTACAAGCAATCAGGGGTATGCATTTAAGTGCCTTAAAGATGATATCTGATATTGAAGTCTAACACTTAAGTTTTATGTGGTTTCATAATAACATTTTAAAGCCATAGAACTTGTTCATTTTTTATTTTCAGGTTTTTTCCTCCATCGATATGGTTTTTCCTCCTATGTATATAACCAGTTTTGGTTCCTGTTGGAGATATATGTCTGTATATTACTTTAATGTTAAACCTAACAAAACTGAAACTATAGATGGAAAACATAAGAGGGGCCCTTGATCTGGATGAAGATCGCTATTTGGAATGGGAAATTTTGTGAATGAAATACCACCTTACTTAGTAGCTGTGTGACCCTGGCCAAGTCACTTAACCCCAATTGCCTCACCAAAAAAAAAAAAAAGAAATATCACTTGCTGAAATTCTGGATTTAGAGCCAAATTCTACCTATGATACTATGTAACTCTGGAAAAATCACTTACTCTTTCTGAGCCTTACTTTAATCATTTTTAAGATGAGGATGATAGCACATATGGGGTGTTCAGGGAGGTGTAGCATCTCTAGGGTGAGGGCTTGCTGAGCCCTTTTCAGGGCTGCTCATCCACCTTTAGTGTCTACCTGATTCACCCAGCTCTCACTTGTGGTTCCAAGAAGTTGTAGCATGTGCAGGGCCATACCCCGGTAAAACCACCTTGGCAGATGGGCTGATGAGGGTAACTGACAGGTCTCAAACACATCCATGAGTTAGGGGGATGTCTACCCCAAGCATGTGAAGACTTCCCCTAGCAGAATAGAGTGGATAAGAATAATTTGTTCTAACGGCCATGAAAGAGGCTGAAGGAGTGTGGTGGAGTGCTTAGAGTTTGGTCAGACATGGAAGACACCAAGGTCATCCACTGTACCCTGGGCCATTGACAGTCATCTTGACATTTGCCTTGCCAGTGGACCTTGATGAGTCTGGAAAGGAGAGTGAGGCTGATGATGCCGTGCAGCTCTGCCTCCTTTAAATCCAGTTCCTATACAAGTCAAGATACCACCTTATCAGTGCTCCTCTTTGAAAACGGAGGGCAAACAATAGCAATACCTGTAGGATTTATCTAACAAGGCTGTTGTGAGGATAGAATGAGATGATGTGTGTGAAACATTTTGCAAATTTTAAAGCACTATAGGTCCAAGTCCAGATCTGTGATTTCATTGATGTAGAGAACTCCATGTATGGAAAGTCTACCATTGCAGCTCAGAACCTGCTTTGCAACTGTAGTCTTAGAGAATTCACTGGGGCACTGAGAGTTTAAATGGAGTGTCTGGGTTCACCTAGCTAGCGTATGTCAGGCAGGACTGGAATCCAGGTCTGTCTGATAAGGAGGCTAGTTCTCGAGCCCCTATGTCACAGTATACCATACTATGTTTTTCTTTCCATAGAATAGTACGTAGAAGTATAAGCAATTTATAAGTGCTTTTTCTGTCTATATACATATGTTCCTTCTTTTTTTTTTCTCACTGATGGAACCATTTTCCCAAGTACTTGAAACCTTGGAACCGTTTCTGACTCTCGTCTCACATTATTTAGGTGACCATATAAATCAACTAGCAAGGCCTGTTAATTCTACTTTCACAAGATCTCTCATATGTATTCCCTCCTTTCCACTCCCATTACAACCCCCTCTAGTTCAAGCTGTTATCTTTTCTAGCTTAGACTATTGTGTTAGTCTCCAAACTGTTCTCCCTGGGTCCATTGTCTCTCATCCATTCTTCACAGAGCTACCAAAATAAGCTTCCTAGTGTACAGATTTTATCATGACATTTCCCTGCTCCAAAGACTTCAATAGCTCCCTATGGACTAGAGGATAAAATATAAGCTCCCTAGCCTGTCATTTAGATCCCTACAAGGTGTGGCTTCAACTTATTTTCTAAACTTATTTCACACTACTCTCAGCCAAATTGTATGACTAGCTGTTGTTGAAACTTGTCATCCCTCTGTGAATTTGCCTAGATCATCCTCCATGCCTGGAATGCATTCTCTCCTTATCTTTCTATGGCTGTTGAATATTTTTCTTTCTTCAAGTACCACTTAAAGTCTTGCTCCAAATAGACATCCTAGATCTTCCTAGGTAGATTGCTTTTTTTTCTCAAAATTTGCTTTGAACACTTACTCTTTTTTTTATCCCTATAACATTCTATCTTGTATTATACTTTTTCCACCTTAATTTCTCTCAGTCTCAGTTTCCTCATCTGTAAAATGAGAATAATAACTATTTCACTAAAGTGCTGTGAAGATCAGATGAGATAATATATGTAAAGCACTTTGCCAACCTTAAAGTGCTGTAAAAATATTATCTATTATTATGTTAGCCCTCCCCCCTTTCAGCTTCCCTTCATGCGAATGTAAGCTCTTTGAGGGCTAAGGGCTTTCTCATTTGCTTATATTTCTATCTCCAGCTTTTATTTATTACATTTATTAAGAACCTACTGTATGCCAGGGACTGTGCTAAGTGCTGGGGATACAAAGAAAGGCCCTTACTCTCAAGGATCTCACAATCTAATGGGGGAGATAACATGAAAATAACTATTTACAAATAGACTATATACAAAATAAATTGGGAATAATTAATAGAGGGGGGAATTATTAATAAATTAATAGAGGGAATTAATAGAATTAAGAAAGATCAGGAAAAGCTTCTTGTAGAAGGCAGGATTTTAGCTGAATCTTGAAGAAAGCCAGGGAAACCAGGAGATGGAGACAAAAAGGGAGAACATCCCACGTAGGGGGATTGATAGTGAAAATGCCCTGAGTCAGGAGATGAGTATCTTGTTCCTGGAACAGAAGCCAGAGCTACTGGATCAAAGAGTACTTGGGAATGGGAGTGGGGGAATAAATGTAAGGTGTAAGAAGACTGGAAAGGTGTGTGTGTGTGTGTGTGTGTGTATGGGCAGGTTATGAAAAGCTTTGAATGTCAAACAGAAGTTTTATATTTGATCTGGAAGGTGAGAGAGAGAGAGACATTGAAGTTTATTGAATAGATGTGTGTATTTAATAAATGGTCTCTCTCTGTCTCTATCTTCCCATCCATCCATCCATCCATCCATCCATCCATCCATCCATCCATCCATCCATCTGTCTTGTATGTCTTTACTACTATTACTACTACTAATATGATAATAATAATAATAATAATAATATTAATAATAATAAATTAAGATCATGGATGATGTCATTTTTCATCTTTGTATCCCCAGCATGTAGACCAGTGTAGTCATGCACATAATAGATGTTTAATAAATATTTGTTGGATTGAATTGAGTCTGGAAATAGATGTTTAATAGTAATTGATTTGGTTAGCATTATGGATAAGGTTACAGAGATAACTTGCTTCACTGAAAAACTGGTAATTAGTTCTATAATTAGATTAAGGATTTAGATAGTAATTATTCACCAAAAGATTAAGCAATCTTTATCAAGTGTGGTTTTGAGTTTCAGGTTAATATGTGATGTTGGATAAAGTGAAATATTAGCATAAGTAGTTTGAGCCAGAGTTCACAGAAAATCAAAGAAGGTTGGAATAGAAAGGAAAGGAATCTCAGGGATCATGACGCCCAAGATCTTTCTTTGAGCGCTGGGCTCCTTTACAAAATTCCTAACAAGTGATTTTTTCAGTTTATTTTTGAGCAGCAGCATTGTTGGGGGATCTATGACTTCCTGAGACAGCCCATTCCATTGTTGGCTCACTCTGTTTTTTATATTGGGTTAAAGACCTGTTTCACTATAACTTCTACCCATTGGTGTTAATTCTTTCTGGTGCCATTATTCTTCACCCTTGAGAGGTGAGAGAATATATACCCAATTCTTCTATGTGATAGCTCTACAAATATTTGAAGACGTGTCATTTGTCTCCTAAATTTTCTTTTATCTGGGCTAAACATCTGTGTGTCTTTTGATGAATGATGATGACAATAACAACAATAACATATGATTTCAAGTCTACAATAACATATGATTTCAAGTCTCCTCACCATCCTGACTACCTTTATGTGTGCTCCAGGTTTTTTGTTGCTCTTTCTACAGTGTACCACTCAGCCCTGAACACACTACTCCAGGTGTGATTTGACCAACTAAGAGGAATTATTCCTTCCCATGTTCTGGACACTATTAGAGGCAGCTAGCTGGTGGTACAGTGGATAGAGTTCTGGACCCCAAATCAGATAGAACTGAATTCAAATCCTGACACAGTCACTTGCTCAGACACTTTCATCCCAGGTAAGTAATTTAATCTTTGTTTGTCTCAGTTTCTTCAACTCTAAAATGAGGATAATAATAGCACCTACCCCATAGGGTTGTTTTGAGGGTCAAATGGGATAATATTTGTAAAAAGTGCTTAGCACAGTGCCTGGTATATAGTAAACACTATATAAATGAGTATTACTTACCGTTTCCTATTACTTGTGGGCAATTCACCTAACGCCTTTCAGCCTCAGTTTCCTCATGTGTAAAATGGGACTACTACTACTACTACTAGTACTACTACTACCACTTCATAGAGTTGTCATAAGAATCAATTAAGATAGCATACATAAAGCACTTTTGCAAAGCTCAAGGTGCTAAATAAATGTGAGCTATTATTATTCTTATTGTTTATAACAATATGAATGCAGCTTAATATTGTAAGAACAGCATGGCATAGTGGATATAGAGCTGGCTTCAGAATTAGGAAGTTAACAAGTCAAGTCAAGTGCATCTATCATGTGCCAGAAGGCCTGATTTCATCTCCTGCCCCTGATACACACTGGTTATGTGACCTTGGGAGCTCAAGTAACTTAAGCTCCCAGTCAGTATCCCAGATAACTTTTAAAAACTCTGAGTGCAGAGCATGTGTTGATCTGCATTGGTAGAGGGAATTTTCTTTTCAGGAGTTCCTTCTACAAGTGAACCCACAGGTCTTGTCCAGAAAAAGTATTGCTGTCAACTCTTTGGGAGCAATTTCCCAATATTTATAGATTTGAATGAGTTTGTGGTCAACTAAAAAATCCTGGGTTTTCACAGGAACTCTTCTCCAGCCAAAGCTACTTCATTCTATACTTGCATGGTTGATTTTTTTTTTGTCCCAACTGCAGGATGTTATATTTCTTCCTATTAAATAATATCTTTTTACATTTTGACCTTCCAAATTCTACTCTACTGAGATCTTTTTTGGTCTTGGTTTTTTCTAATGTAGTAGTTAAGACTCATAGCTTCCACAAAATTGATATGCCGCATCTTTCTTCATTCAAGTCACTGGGAAAGTTTTACCAGGATGTGGTTGCTGTGCATGCTACAGCTTCTTGGAGCCACAGGTAAGAGTTGGGTGAATCCAGTGAACACCAAAGGTGGATAACCAGCCCTGAAAAGGGCTCAGCAAGTCCTCACCCCCAATGTGCTAGTCCTCCCTGAACACCCAGGTTGGATTAGGATTTGTTGAATAGGATCAGGATGGCTAACATTACCAACTAGTGCTTTGATTTGAAATCCAGAAAAATTTAAGTTGATGGCATTTTTCTTGTAGTTTTATAGTATTTAAAAGGGAAAATAAGGTTACCTTTGAATGACATTTAAACTTTTCAAAATTAAATTAAATTTTTAAATAAAAATATATTTTCTTTCTTTTCTACCTTCCCTGAATTAAAAACAAAACAAAAAGCTTGTAATAAATATGCATAGCCAAGCAGACAAACTCTTTAAATATCCATTTACAAAAATCCATGTGTAATTCTGCATCTTGATTCCATCACTTCTCCGCCAGGCAGCATTATTCATGATCAGTTCTCTATGATCTTCATTGGTTATTGCATTGATCAGAGTTAAGTCTTTCAAAGTTGTTTGTGAATGACTTATTCTTAGTGAACCCATGTTATTTTGTAGTGACTGAAACTTTTATTTTAAATCCTCACACACCATCTGCTTAATAATCTATTTTAAAAATTTCCCAAGGAGATAGACAGCTATTGCTTGTAGAACTTAAAATCTTTTCCCTTTTGAAAACTGGGACACATGACTGTCTCTATGCTGTATGATCTTTTCCTATTCTATATTTCTGTCCTAAACCACCCCCCTGAAAAAAAAAACACAACTGCCCACTTCTTTTCTGCATCTCTTTCTCTAATACATTTCTGTTTCCTTTTCTATTAATCCTTATTTACTGTAAAATTATCAACTTAGTTCCCCATGAGTGGAAAAAATTTTCTTGATTCACCATTGGTGTCTAATGCTTAAGCTATCTAGGAATCTCTTGGCTGAGGCCAGAGGGTCTTGTGATCACTGCCATTCTGTGCTTTATCTTCCCTTTTGGTTTACCAAAAGGGTTTATTCCTCTTCAATTCCTCTTCAAGGTTCCACAGTGCTCCAATTTTACCCTTATCTCAGTTTTCTGAGGTACAATTCTATTTTTGGTTCTAATCTAAGGGATCCTACCCAGTAAGGGGTAGAGTGGGGAGTAAAAATGTATCCAGTGTAAAAATATGAGTCAGATATGAAATAAGTAGTTTTATCCCCACACAAAAATAGAACAGTAAGCAACAAAGGATCATTAAATGATTAAAACTGATTAAATAAAAATAGCTAATATTTATATAGCACTTACTATGTGCTAGGCTCTTTTCAGTGATCACATTTGGCCTTCACAAAAACCCTGGAAAACAGACGCTATTATAATCTTCATTTTACAGATGGGGAAACTGAGGTAAATAGGTTAAGTGACTTGCCCAGGGTCACACAGTTAGTAATTGTCTGAGACAGATTTGAACTCAGGACATCCTGACGCCAGTCTAGTTGCTCTATCCACTGAACCACCTAGCTCATATTCAAGCCTTGTTGGGAAATTTACACTAGCGTTTTCATGAGCTATCTTACATTTCTCTTTCACCGAGGACAGCATGTGGACTCTTTCTTTGGGTAATTTTTCTCTTTGCAGGTGGCTCTTTGCTTCCAATCAAGTCTATCTTTGAGACTTTTCTTTCTGTAACTGCTTTAGTAGCTGATACCTCTGTGCTTGCATCCCCAAGAAGGCCAGAAGATACCAGCGCCCTATATCAAAGGAAACAAGTTGCAGACAGGAGGTAGTCCCGTCCGTAACAGGATTGTTAAAAGGGGGCATGAGCTCATGGCTTGTGGCCAGAAGAGTGACTCTCAAGAGCTCAGAGAATTGTCTTTAGCTCGCAGGATGTAAAGAAGCCAATGAGTTTCTCCTTTTTAGATCCACAAGTTCCAGCTCAGCAGCCACATTGAAGTCACTATGGCAAATACCCATGCTTTTTTTAAAGTGCTTTGAGGTTGGAGGGAGGCATGAGGGCCTCCTCCATCATGTAGATCCAAGGGGTGCTATAGGTGTCAGTTCCTAGTAGAGGCTTGATAACTCAGTTGTACCTTGAACATGAAATACCAAAGGATTGAAACTGGGGCCAAAACTGGGGACCAGGAGTCTGGAACACTTCTCTATGTACCGGCTCCCTGGCACACTCTCTAAACCTTCATGTATGGACCCCATATCTCCCAACTCCTTTTAGGGTAAATGTTTGCGGTCAAGGTTAATTGAAAGGGAAAGCTCAAGATTCTTCTTTGCTTTTTTCTTTCCTAGTTTGCCAAGTGAGGTTTCAGGCTTAGACTCGGATTAGTTTATGAGTTGATATAAAGGTTCGAGTTCCATTGAGCTAGAGCTATGGTTACATTGCACAAATTGAGAAGAAGATTTATAGATTTTATGCAAAGTTCATAACCTTTAGCTGGGTTTGGTTGACAGAGCTAATAGAATAATGTGCTTAGCAAAGCAGCTGGAATTTTTTCTTTTTTCTTTCTTTCTTTTTCAATTTTAGAAGATTAGGTGGAACCAAAGCTACCTTCTCCACTCCATAGAGGGTGAAAGTTCCTCATTAGGGTCAAAGATACATGCCATTTTCATCAAACTGTGAAATTTATGCAACATTAGAATTAGGCATTCACACCACTTATGCTGGATTTTATTTGAGCGCTTATATCGAAATGAGAAAAATGAGACACTGGTGATGTTGAAAGTCATCATCCATAATCTTGAAAAGCAAAACTACTGATTGATTTTTATAAATAGAGGATATTTGATTCACAAATAGAAGAAGATAAAGCCATCCTATAGAAGACAATGTGAAATATTCGTTACAGAACTGGTAACTATTTACAAAAGAATTGAGAATAAGGGGATTATAAGGGCTAAAGACTGGACTTATGATTTCATTTGTAAAGGATGTTTCCAGATGAAGAAACTCCCTCTATCAATGTAGACCAGCATCTTCTCCATAACTTAAGAGTCTTGCAGAGTTCCTAGAGCATTGAGAGATTAAATGCTTTGCCCAGGGTTAGGCAGTTAGTATGTGTCAGAGGCAAGACTTGAACCCATATATTCCTGGGTTTAAGGCCAGCTTTCTATCCACTATGTACCATGCTGTCTCTGCTATATGATCATAGTGTCATAGATTTCATTTTGCTTTTTGAGGTTTTATCTCTGCCTTCTGTTTTTATAACATGGTCATTTCCCCTTTAAGTCTTCCCACCCACAGCTCAACTCCACTTTTTAGTAAAAAAAAGCATTTAAACAAAGCTAATAAATACAGTGGCTATATCTGACAGTATCTTGTGGGCCAGGACACTAATGGAACTGGGGTTGCTTGACTTAACCCCAACACTGTTACAAGATCAACGGGATTGTTGTGAGCCGACATTGTGGAGCAGACCTGGGGTAGTTTGAATTAAATTTGTCTCCAAGTGGCTTGACCTGGGACTCACCAATGAACCTGTAGGGACAATGAATATATAAAGACAGTTCTTAGACTCTTAAGGAGAGCTCTAGAGACTCCAGGGAACTTTCTTGTCAATTGCTTTTATCTTTTTTTGGGGGGTAGGATGTTTATCTGCTTTTATTTATTTATTTTTGTTGACTGCCCTGTACTGCCTTGTGGAATTTTTTTTTTTTTAGTGAGGCAATCGGGGTTAAGTGACTTGACCAAGGTCACACAGCTACTACATGTCTAGTGTTTGGTCTGAGGCCGGATTTGAACTCAGGTCCTCCTGACTTCAGGGCCGGTGCTCTATCCACTGCACCATCTAGCTGCCCCTGGAATTCTTTTTCTTGCAAGTTATGGAATATGTTTGTATGAAAGACTCTGAGTGGTCCATTTTACTGGATGTATAACCATAACCAGTGTACGTATATACCACATCCAAAATTCTTAGACATTTTGTCTTAAGTGAATCCCTTTGATCATTCAGAAAGGAGAGTCATCCATCTTTTACTGAGAGAAGAGAGGTGTGCTTCATTACCAGTTCTCTCTCTGTGTAAGGCTCTTAACGACTGAAATGCTGCCACCTGACTTGGTAAAATCTTTGGCAAATTGTAGATCCTTTCTGGACCTCAGTTTTCTCACTTGTAACAAAAGGGGTGCAACTAGATAATAACATTTGTTGAGAATCTTACAGATTCAAAGCGGAACCTTATTATCTTACAGGCTGCAAAGTGCTGTTTTTCCAATCTCATTTGATCCCTATGACAACCACACAAGGCAGGTATTGCAGAAATTATTATGCCCATTTTCCAGATAAGGAAACAGAGGCTTAGCAAGGCTAAGTGACTTTCCCATAGCCATATAAATAGTAGTTGCAAGAGGTATGATTTGAATATACATCTTTCCTGATTTCAAGTTCAGTGTTCTTTCCATTGTAACCCCCTGCCTCCCTTGGAGGATCCTCATAATTGTAACTAGAAATTTTGGTGTTTGTGTGAGAGCCCAGTGCGGGAGAAAAGGAAAACATGGCCTGGGAAACTACCATGAAAAAGAAACAATGTAAGGTTGGGCTGGTGAGAAATTCACCTGCAGTGCAGCAAGGCTTTGGGATCCCATCTTTGGGTTGCACCTGCCTTCATCTTTGTACTATGGATGGATTTCATGGGAGCCTCTCAGGGAGATGTAGTCACCATGGGGGAAGCATGGTCTGCTCCTCCACAATGAAGTCAACAATGCAGGGAACAAGAGGAGATGGGGGTGAGGGGAAGCAGTTTGAATGGCATGATGTCAGTTGTCTCTCTTGATCTCAGGAAGTGCTGAGAACATGGAGCAGTCCACTGGCAAGATAGTGGTGGTATGTCTTGGGTGGCAATTGGGGCAGCCCACTGGCACCATAGTGGTGGAATGTCTGGGGTGGCAATTGAAGCCTGCTAAGAAGTGGGACAGGTTGTGCTGTAGGAGTTCTCATGCGAGTCGGATGGGTGGTTGGGAAGATAAATCTCTCAGTTTGTCCCCCACATACTTAGTTCCTGTTGGGGAATTTCTCAGCT